AGCCTGTCTCTCACCCACTGACTCCTCAATCTACATTTTCACTGACTACCTGTCTTGTATGCATACCAGCCCAGCCGCTGGCTTCTTTCCTTTTCATTCCATCCAGGAAGAGCACACACCAACTGCTGAAACTTCCTTAGCCTGACGAAGGGTTTTTGAACACAAAAGCTTGCTTAATAATTATTTTCCAACTATTTGGGTTGGTCTAATAAAAGATATCAGATTCACCCAAGGAACCTTGTCCGTCTAACAAAAGAACACATTCCCGTAGCAAATACCATTCTAGAGAACCCAACAGCACCTTACAAGCCATCCGCTTCTTCCAGCTACCATTGGAAGTCAGTGGGAATTTGTCCATATACCTGAATGGATGTTCTATCAAGCTCTGTATACAGAAGTCAGACAAGCATATCTGAGTGGAAAGGCCAGAATCAGAACAGTGTGAAAGATGGAAATTGTGACTAGGATGCTAGGATCGAAATTATAACAAAGTCCTCCTTATTCATAGCTAAAGTCCTATAGTACTTTTTCTTAAAAAATTAATAATTCCAAAGACAAAACTGCATGGAACTGAATTTATCTCCCTTGTAAGCCTAGAGAACTGAGTTGATCATAGTAGAATTTATAAGTGGACTCAAGGAATTGAAATTCAGACCCATTTTCATATTGTTTTCAGGACAAAATTCGCTGTTTTTTCTTGGAGATCTAAGCTTTTATTCAGCTCTTCCTATACATAAATGTTACTCAGGTCTGCCATGTTGAAATGTCAGAAGAATTTCCCTGTGGGTCAAAAAACAAAAGTATGTTTCTCTTACCTCCAAGGATATTGTCAATCAATTGTCTTTTGATCATGCAGATCTTTAATGCTATAAAACCAATAGCTAAAATGGCTCCAAGAGTAACTCCTATGATAACATACGTGACATCTGCAAAATAAATGAAAATAAATGATAGACTATATGTTGTAAAATAATAAAGAAAATAGTTTGGCATTTTAATGTTGGTATGTTAATGGCATAAGAGAAGGATGCAGAATCAGAATGAATATTGTTGTTGAAAGATGACCACATGCATTCTCTCACACAAGAAAAAGCTGAATATGAAGGGCTAGATTATGAGCTTCCTTAACCACATGCACAATACAAATTTACACCATCCATACGCACAGTAGAACTGAGCTAACCAAAATCCCTTATGAGGGAACCCACTGTAGGTTTCTATCATTTGTAAATTAGTGAATGAACAACTTCCAGTAAAAGGGGGGACATTAGGAGAACTAGTGTGGGCTGGAGAATAGGCAGCTGGTTTGCATGTGACATGTGGTCTCTTTCTGTTTCTGCTAGGACCTGCTGTGTGATATTGGTTATGTGAATATTCCTCTGAGGTGTTGTCTATTTAGAGTGAGAGCTCTTTTGGGCAGGGCTATTTGTTGTTAGTGTAAGCGCAGGGTAGAAAACAACATTTGCATGGGATGCTGTAGAGGGGGGCTTGCACCAGCTGTCCTCTTTGGGGTATCTACCAACCCTGTTTTTTAAGATTCTGCCAGGTAATTTTGACAGCATACAGCACAAGGAGGGCACCAACTTTGTCTGAGGCTTCTAGGTGCTACTGTAATATAAATAACATTTAAAAGGGCAGGCTACAGCTGCACTAGGTACAGTTTCCTTACATACCATGATGACTTCAAATTTAAGACGACCTTCCAATAATTATATCCTGTACATAGATCATTATTTAAATTCTTCCCTCCGGCCACTGTGGGAAGGGAAGAGATGCCTTGACCCCTCCCCCCTCACTTTTCCCACCCAGCCACTTACTTCCACAATGCCCCTCTTGCCAAACACCCCTCACCGCCCCTCACCTGCCCCACCCCCCTCACTGTCTGTCCTGCCTGCTACCACTTACTCCTATTGCCTGTTCCCCCTACCCCTGCTTACTGTGGGCAATGGTTCTGACCCTGGCTCTGGCTCTAGCTCTGGCTTTGGCCATGGGCACAGAGCACACGGTGACTCTGGCCTTGGCCTGGCTAAGTACCAGTGGCAATGGCAGCAGCAGTGGCAGCACCAGACCTGGCTGCAGCTCTTGTGCTGGGACAAGGTTGGAGCCAGAGCTGGATCCAGAGCCCCAGCAGCTCCCCTGCCACTGCATGGTCTCCCTAATGCCTCCCGCACTGTATGGTCTCCCTTGTACTCCTCCATGTTCATCCTCCCATTACACAGTCTCCCCTGCACTACCTTAGCCACACCAGCCACAGTGTCTCTGATCCAGGGTAGCTGGTGGCTGTGGCTCCAGCTTTGGCTCTAGCTCCCCTAGCTGCAGCAGCTGCATGCCCAAGGCTCATCCTTGCATCCAATATAACGGGTTTTTTCTCCTGGTTGAATGGGAGAAAAAAACTGTCATTTTTTTTGTATTTGGGTAAATATGGTATATATTGGCAGTAACATTTCAATTTTGATTATAGCATTACTTTCTAAGATCTAAGATTTCTTAAACCTAGTACTTGGTTTAATAAAATTAGGAAGTGGTGGTACCAGAAGTTCTCACTGGAAGACACTAATAGTAAATCTTTGTAGAAGGGAAATAGCAGCATTTTAGGGTGATTATACACATTCAGGGAGGCTGCTCCAACGTGCTGTAATTACAGCACGTTGGAGCAGACTTGATTAATCGAGTCTGCTGGAGCCCAGTAATTATGCTCCAGCATACTCCAGTGTCATGCATCTCAGAATCCCTGCACTGAAAAATGGCAGCGGGCGTGCTTTAACTAAAGCTTGTTTGAGGAGTTTTAGTTAAAGTGCCCTACTTGCCATTTTTCAATGCGAGGATGCTGATACACGTCACACTCCAAGCACTATAATTAAAGTGGCTCCTGGAGCCACTCTAATTAAAGTACTCCCTCCCTGCTCCCCAGAGAATGTATATAAACACCCTTAGGTGTGTATTATCAGGTGTATTACTCTTCTGCATCATCACAGTCACATCATGGTTTCACATCAAACTTTAATACTACACGGTGCACACTTTCATGGTCTTTGGGGCTCCAATATGCCTTTTAATGTTTCTAATTTTATTACAGGCATGCCTGGAGGCAGCAGTCACAGACTGGTGCTTCATTATAATAGACACCATACAAACACAGAATAAGCAGATGATCATTATATTATGATAATAATAATTATAATCATAATCAACATCATAATTTTGAGGCTCCATTTTGTATTCCCATTAATAAAAAGATCTATATAAAATAACAAGATCTAATATCCTTAGCATGTGTTTGCTTTTGTTGCCATGTTCTCTTAGCCCCAGGGTGGATAATTATCTTGGCTTGAGGGCTGCTTAATTAGTTTTGATGAGCTATCAAGGGCTGCGAGGATAGCCCTGCCCTTTGACAGGTGCCCGCACCCTGGCCATCTTCTTGGGACTGGAAGTGTTGTTCCTAACCCCTGACATTTGCCACTGGAAGTCCCTTCCCTTGGGGGCAGGAGGGTGGAATTGCCATCTTGGAACCAGAAAAAAACCCAAATCACATACTAAAAATCAAACATGTACTATAATATATTTTAATATTATTTTTTTAAAATATACTGTCCTTATTTATATAAGTATGTGGAATGTATACAGAGGCGATTGCATAATAGCTCAAAATAAAGTCTTACTTTTGTATAATGTGTGTGGGGGACTGTGTGAAGTGGTTAGGAGGTGGGATATGTATGTGATGCGGTGTGGGGTTTGTGGGGGGAGCATGTGGGGTTTGTGAGGGGTGCATGTGAGGTTGTGGGGGGTGTGGGGAATGGGTATGGTGGGGTGTGCATGTGGAGCCCCCCCCCAACATACATGGCCCTCCATGGCGCACAGCCCCTGCTGCCAGGGCAGTGGCAGTAGCAGGCCCTTGGAGTGCTCATGGCCCATGCAGGCGGAGCTGCCCAGTGGCACACAGTTCCAGCCAGTTCTGGAAGCTGCACATGGTGGCAGAGAGTGGGGCCAGGGCCTGGCTTCAGCACATGGATCTCCCCATGTCTGATGTGCAGCTCACAAGACCTAGCCAAAGCTACACACTGTGGGGCCAGGGGGAGCCAGCAGCCTGACTCTGCTTCCTGCCATCAGGTGCAGCTCCCAGGACTCCACTGAGAAGCAGGGAATGGGGCTGAGCCTGCTGGGATCCGTTGTGTGGGGCTCCTTGCCACTTCTGGTGGAGTCCCAGGAGCTGCATATGGTGACAGGGAGTGGGAAAGGCTGCCAGCTCCATTGTGCTAGGCTCCCCACCATGGCGTGCGAGTACCAGGAGATGTATGTGAGCCACAGGGAGCCCTGTATAATGGAACTGGGCCTACCCAGGCTTTCTGCTTCTCCCCACACCCAGCTGGGTACAGGGCCCATGCTCTTGGTTCTGTGCTCCTGGCCAACTTATACTTTCCCCCACCTACTGCTGCTTCCCTACCTGCTGCCCAGAGTGCTGCAGCAGGGACATGAGGAGGAGCCGCTGGAGGCCAGGGGAGCTGAGCAGTTCATTGGGTGGCTGCAGCAGTGGCAGCAGGAGCCCGGCCTGGAAGCTGCGTGCTGGCTGGGGCCAGGGTTGTGGTTGTGGCTCTCCCGTCCATGAGGGTGGGAGCGCAGGACATTGCCCTAGTGGGAGTGGGTGAGGCTCGGTCACATGTGACTGCAGGAGGGGCAGCCACAGGCTCAGCTGGATATGATTAATTAGTGGGCACCCACCTGCAGACTGGATGGAATTGCCTGGTGGGTTGGATCTGGCCCACAGGCCATATTTTGCCCACCCTGTCTTAGCCTACGGCTCCTGTAGGGAAGGTAACATCTTAAAATAGACTCACCTACTCCATCCTCTTCAGATGTTCCAGAGGCATAAACCCTTGCTTTCCAGATATCTGAAACAGAAAAGATTGGGCATGTCAAAATATGTAGAATAATGTACTGTATTCAGCTAGTGACCATATGTATCTGGTAATATCATGCTTGCTTGAAAATCCTAAGAGGATCATGCCAGGATATTACTAGTGATTAATTGTCAGATGATAAAATTTAAGAAATGTATCTAGGCCTTTGTAGAACAGATGTGTTATTGGAAGAATTATTGGAGAATTCTGAAGAATCTTGAATGAACCAACATTTTTTTTCAATTTGTTTTATCACTGAAAATGTAAGCTGAAATAAGCAAATCGAGAATATTTTTTAAGTAGTTCCAATCAGAATCATAGCAGTAGCACCTGCATGAATGAGACAAACAGGGACTGAGGTGGCTTTTAATACAAAAGTGAGCACTGGTTTTAAATGCTTCCCAAAAGGAATCACTTTCTCCCATGCACATGTTATTCAGCATCTAACCTCATTTTTCTGTGTTTTCAGCCTGCTAATTAAGGCACAAATGGCTTAGAACTACAGAGACTGAGGTCTGGGCTAATTTCAGATGTAAAAGTATCATGGTTAACAACAGATTTACACCAGCATGAAACTGATCACATGTCCTGTCCCTGTGAAAAATGTGTGCGTGTTATACAGGTTTCCCTCAATCTATGCGGGTTGTTTATATGCAAATTCACTCTTATGAGATCAGCACCGATGCCCCCCACCCCCACCAAAGCAGGTAAGTCTGTGGGGAGTGGGGAAAGGGCTGTGGCCCCACTCACTCCAGCCCGGGCTGCAGCGGCCCCGGCAGCAGCCGGTGCCAGCTGCCTGTGGGCTTTGGGCTGCACCGTGCTCCGCCTGTCCCCCCGCACCTGGGCTTACCCCAGCTCCTAGGCTGCACCATGCCATGGTGCAGGCAGCTGGTGTCAGCTGCTCCTGGGGCCATTCCAGCACAGGCTGGGGTGAGTGTGAACAAGCAGAGCCCCGGGTAGCACAGGCCACAGCACTCACCCCAGCCCCAGGTGCAGTGGCCCTGGGAGCAGCCAACACCTGCTGCCTGCACCAGGGCACAGCACAGCCCAGCACAGGTGAGTGAGGACAGGCAGAGCACAATGCAGCCCAGCAGCTGCAGGCAGCTGGCACCAACCACTCCTGGGGCCACTGCAACTGTGGCTGGGGTGAGTGCCACTCTGTTCCCTCTGCTTTGCTGCCTTGTGTAGCCCCAGGAGTGGCACCCCTCTCCCTGTCCCTTACCTAGTCGCAGCCTCACTCCCTTACTGTCATGGGAATTTATCCTGATTCGTTACATTGGAAAGTGGGTTTGCTTTATGTGAATTTGATTTATGAGCCGTTGTCTGGAAACACATGTACAGCATAAATTGAGGGAAACCTGTATGTTGATAAGCATCTAAGCCAGGGACGTGCAGTTATTTTGGGTGGAGGGCCTCTTAACAAGTTTTGGCAAGCTGTTGCGGGCTGCATAGGTAGCTCTGCCGCTTGATGGTTGCTCTGCACCCTGGTCACCACATTGGGACTGTAAGTCCTGCCCCCTAACCCCTGACCTTTGCCACTGGAAGTCCCTCCCCTTGTTGCCCTTCTCCCCCTCCAAATACTCCTTTTGGGAGGAGGGGAGACCTGCCATCTTAGAACCAGAAAAAACCCAAATCATACACTAGAAGTCAAACACCTATTGTAATATACTTTAATTTTATTACAAAAGATATTTGTCATGACTTGTGATTGTGTACTATATATAGAAGGGATTGCATAATAACTCAAAAATAAAGTGTCAGTCTTTTATATTGTGTGTATATGGTGGGGTGTGAGTGTGTGTGGAGGCGGGTTTGTGGGGGGGTTGTGAGAAGGTGTGGATGTGTAGTGGGGCATAGGGTATATTGAGGTGTACGTACATCTTGATGGGGGTTGTGTGGGCGGGGTGTAGTTGTGTGAGGTGTGAGAGTGTGGGGGTATAGGGACCCACCACACACTCCCCCCCCCCCCCCCCCCCACACCACCCCTGGTGTGCAGAACTCGCTGCCTGGCAGCAGCAGCAGCAGGTGGGGTGGTCAGGGTGCTCATGCCTGGCGCAGGCACCTGGTGGAGTGTGGCTCCAGTCTGCGCTGCACACAAGGCGGGGGAGGGGTGGGAGAGGTGAGGACCGCAGCCTGCCTGGCTGCTTCTATCATCAGGGCTCCATGCTGTGCACATGCAGCTCCCACACTAGCAGCAGGGGAAGCCCCGTGCTGGAGCCTGCTGCCTCCCCTGTCCCCTGCTGCGCAGGTCCCCACACTCAGCCCGTGAGTGGAGGGATCCCTGCCCCCTGCTTTACCGAGTCCAGTGTGGGGCTTTTCTGCTGCAAGTACAGGAGCTGAAGGTGCGCCATGCTGAGCCCCTGTGATAGAGGCAGACAGGCATGCGAACAGCGGGCCCCACCCTGAGGTGGCCATGCAGTTGCTGCCAGCATGGAGATAATGCCAGAGCTGTGGAGCCCAGCGCAGCTGTTTGCAGCCTGCCCACTGCTTGCTGCAGCTGCCCAGAGCACGGGCTGGCTACAAACAACTGCACCAGGCTCTGGAGCCCTGCTATCACCTCCGTGCCAGGAGCGGGGAGAGACTGGGGCTGCACTGCCTCAGGCCCCTCCCTTACCACCTGCTCCGATGCGCAAGTGCTCGCACCAGTATGGGGCTGATGCCGGAGCCTGGCACAGCTGTTTGGAGCCTCCCAGCTGCAGCTGGTCCCGGCTCTGGGTAGCTGCCGCCAGCTGAGAGACCAGGCCGCTCCCCGCCGATGCTGTAAGCCCTGCCGGAAGCAGCCCGGGCTCTGTTGCTGGCAGCAGCTGCCTAGAGCCGGGGCTGGCCGTGGTGTGCGGAGCAAAATGGCCTCACATGCCATGCTCAGCACGCGTGCCGGGGCTTGCCGGCCCCTGCATTAAATACATGTTGAACATTCAAAACTTGTGATTCAGGCTGCTCAAAAAAACCAAATTGGCTGAAAAACTGTGAGATTATACAAAATACTACTTGTTTTTGTCTTCTGGTTATCATTCTTTTCTTTACAGGCAAAAACTCAAGAACCTACTTGTTTTTAAATTGAAGCTGACTTTTCACATCATTGCATTACTCCAGCCCAGGAGATGGAGCCTTCAAAAAAGCAGGCATTGCAGTATTTTGTTTTGTTCCTCTTCAGCTGTTTTTATGTGAGGGACACTTTTCACATGAATATTTGTAGCAGGTACATTCTAGCACCATAGAGGAATTTTGTTAAGACCAAACTTTACAAAAGTGGCCTCATTATTGCAAGTCTGGCTTGAGCCTAGTTTTCACAGCTGCTGTGCACCTTACATTTCAAATAAAGTCAGTGTGAACTCTGAAAGTTCCAGCACCGTATCAGAAACATCTGACATGCAGGATGACTGGCAAGACACTAGCTTTTACTTCCTGGCCTCTGTTACTTGACGATTACTCAAACACTTTAAATATTGTGTGTTCAGTCAGGCTTCAAAAAGCTTGAGACTGGTTTGAAAATCATAGGACTGTAAGACAAATAGATTTTAGCTTCTTTATTTGCCTGCTTGATTTTGACTCGTTAGGTTTTACATTTTCAAACTGTTCTCTATCACCAATTTGTCTGCAAGCTTACTTAAAAAAAATAATAATATTCCTCTAATAATCACATTACTAGAGAGAGAGAAGCAAGGGGGGTAAGAGTGCTCAGAAACCCCCATGGCTCAGCAAGGGCATTCAGGAATGC